AGAGAGTTTCATAGAGTCTTCAAAGCCAGTCATTTTAGCAGAAGGAATTTCAATGCATAGGAGCTTATGCTTGTTAATATAGAATTGAGAAATAAGATCATAGATATTACATCCACTGTCTATCATTACTCTAGTTGAAAAGGCATTATCTACTAGAGCATTGACAGTGAAGGGTTTGAATATCATTTTAGATTTAAATCCTCTTCATTGCTTCTTCATAAGCTTCTTATTTCACTTCTTTCAGTGTCTTTTGATTGAAGCTACTCTTTTTCCTAAATTCTTACTCATATCCACATCATCATCATTCAGTATCAGCTTGGAGATCATCTTAGCTATTGTGAGAATGGCAGAGTGTCTGAGAGATTTGAACAGACAGCTCTTAATCATATGATCTCTCACTTCACATCTCAGACACAGGCCTTGCTCTCTTCTTTGATTAATCTCTGTCTGATTTATCAATTTGATGTGATGAGCACTTGAGATCATAGCATCAGAAGAGAGATTCATCAGATCATTAGCAGAAGCTTGAGACTGATTTCATCAATTAAGAACAGCATGATGAAGTAGAGAGTGTGGATTAGATGTTGTATGATCTGAAGAAGATCTGCTCTCATGATGTTTAGATCACTGCCTTAAAGTCTTAAGCTCAGAGAGTTGATAATCAACTAATCTAAGCTTCTTGCAGTAATTCTCATAGAGAGATGATTTTCTTACACTCATCATGCCTTCCCTCAGCTCCATGCTTAGAGCAGATTTCAAATACCTCTTTTTAACAAGATCATCTCATTTGTGACTACCAGCTTCCAGCAGTAGCTGATTAAATTCAGACAGAAAGTTGAAGAGAGCTCTTCTACTCTGTTGCAGATTGTTGAGCTTTTGCATAGTCTTTTTCTGTCATGCAGAATCACTAAAGAGCATGTGTGTCTGCTTCAGTAAGCTCTCTATCATGAAGTTGATCTTGTTCTTATTATTCTCAACTCAGAGATAAACTCAAGCTGCTGCCATTTCTTCCAGTCTTGAGTATACATACTAAGCACATTTCTTATTATTGTCTAAAGCTTTCTCATTGATCTTAAGCTTTGATTGAAGCTTTAGCTCCCACTGAGAATAGTACTTCAGATTAGAATTATCATACTTCTTGTAGTCTAATAGCTTGATCTTTGATCTTCTGATTGCAATGAGTGATTGTGAGTTCAATTGAGAAAGAGTTGATGTCAGAGTGTTCAAAGCTTGATATAGATTAGCTATTTCAGCTTGCTGAGCTACTATTAAATCTCTGTTCTCATGCTGAATCTGTTTCTGCTGTTGAAGAAAGACTATTCATTGTTGTTCAAAGCTGCTGAGGATGTCTCTGCTCATTGCTTCATGTTGATTCATTTGTGTATTTATTGTACAAGTCTGCTGCTTTATCTCATTCAGTTAAATGTTTTCAATGTTGCTCATTTGTTCATTAGCATGATTGCTAACTCAGTCTATTTATATATCAGTGCTATCACTGAACTTCATGATGCAGAATTTAAGACTCTCAATAGTCTATCATATGTCAGCACATTTGCTAAGCTTTGTGATACAGAATTAAGACTCTCAGTGATCTATCAATGAAAGAAGTGAAGCAATTCATAATGTAAAGAGTTAAGCTCTAAGAACTAGAGGCTAGTCCTCCTATATAACAAGAATGAATTGCTTGAGAAAGGGAAGAAAAGAAAGAGATGAAGAACTCAAGCTTAAGCAAACTCACATAGCATGATCACATGCGCACGTGCAAATGATGACTAGGCTGAGTCAGCCAGCCAGAGCGAATCTAGGGGTTCAACCCCTTATAGATATATAATAAAACATTATATAAAAAGTTAAATATATTAATCTGATTTAGATTTATAGAATTATAGTAATATAATAAGTAAAGCAATTTGATTACTAAAAAATATGAGATAAAGATGAGTAAAAAAAATTAAAAGTTAATTACTGAATAATATATAAAAATTTTTTATAGATCTGAGATAAATTTAAATGCTAAGCAAAATAATTACAAATAGATATTTTATAATTCTAGCAGAATTGAGATGTCTTTAAAAAATCTAACCACTTTTAAACTTTAATCTTATATACAATATATTCAAACTTAATAATATAGACTATCAGAGGTTTATTTGAGTTCTGCTTTAAATTATATAGTTTGTCTTTCATATTAATTATCTTGTTTAAATTCTTATATACATGAGATAACTAATAGAGAATTGAATTGTAGTTTTAATTACTTACTTTTTTAGCTTGAGCTAGCTGAGGAAAAATTATTGCTTATATACTTGAATCTATATTCAAGTAGATATATTAGAACTAAGTGATTGAATTTTCAATATCAGCTTGATCAACATATAGTTTAACTTTAAATAATAGAAGTCAGATATTAAATTTTAAAGTTTAATTGATAAACTTTTCAAAGTCTGACAATGAGAGTTTCAGATAAGATTGAAATTAGAAGTTGTTTAGAGATATCTATAAGAACTGATAATTAGTCTGTAAAGATTAACATTCAGTGTGTAAAGATTGACATTTAGCCTACAATTATTGATTTTAATTAAAAAGCTTCTAAATAGTATTTTTAAATTTTTGATATAAAGTAGCAAAAGAAGCTTTTATAATAAATATAAAAAAAAGTAAAAAATAATAAAAAAGAATAAAAATTAACAAAGATTTTAAATACTCAGTATAGTCATAACTATTGAGAAGCTCAATTATATATAGATATAAATATATATATAAATATTAATATAGACATAAACATAAAACCTGTTTACTTAATTCTTAGAGCTTATGAGAAAGAAAAGTTTAATATTATATTATAAATTAGTCTAAAGATATGACAATAATAAGATAAAAACTCAACTTATCTATCTACTAGATAGCTATAATAATAATGCTAAATTGAAAATTAAAATATAAAAATAAAATAAGTAGCTAAATATATATAAATAATTAAGAATAAGAATAAGTCAATCTAATTAACTAAATATGATTGAGAATTGAAGTAGATCAACTTTATCTCATATTATTAGCAACTGCTTTAAAATTTAATAACTTAATAAAAGCTTTTGAAAACTATTTGATTTTTTTGAATTAATCAATCTTTTACTTATTCAATTTTTATACTCTTTAGATTAAATATTGTATTTTGATGATGAAAATTATTAATAAATATTAATTTTTTTAAAAAAAGTATATTTTTAATAATTAACTTCTCAAATCTTATATGAATATTATTAAAATTAAAAGACAAGTTAATTTAAATAAGAGCTTTCAAATAAGAGTATTATTAAATCAAAATTTTAAAAATTAACTAAGTTTTAAAAAAGATATATTAATTTAATAACTGCTTAAGAGCAATCACTTTTTTAAATCAGAAATAATATTATAATGTAGTCACTGGTAATAAAAATTAAAATTAATTTATTTTAATCTTAATTATATTTAGTTGCTTAGATTAATCTATTTTATTTTTCAATTATCTATATATATTTGACTACTTGTCTTATTCTTATACTTTAGTTTTTTATTATATAGTAGTATATTATCTTTTATATAGAGATAATTTCCCTTCTTTATCTGCTACTATAGAAGTATAATTAAGATTATAGCTCTGTTTAGAGATATAATATATTTAGTAATATTCTTCTTATTTAAGAAATTAATACTTGTGATATTTATATTTATAAAAAAAATAATATAAAAGTCTATAGTTTTTAATCTTAGAAAAATTTATATATAGTTATCTGATTATTTTTTAACATATTTAGATTTGCTCAATGTATCTATCAATATTTTTTTATATTTAATGATATTTAATATAATTTTATATTTTTGATTATTTGAAACTAGTTTATTATAATAATAAAGATTTAATATTATTAATATTTCAAGTATTTTAAATTATTTATCAATTTAATCATAAATTTATTATTTATAGAGAAGATTTAGTAAGAAAAAACAACTACTTAGTAAATTAATATCTTATTTTTAATATTTTAAAAAGATTATATAAATAATTATAATTATAAATTTTTTTCTTTATTAAAAAATTCAAATTTTATAAGTAAAAAATTTATAAATAATAAAGAAAAAAAATATAAAAATATATTAATCTAAATTAAAATATTATTCTATTTATATAAAAATTTTATAAATATATTTAGTAGCTTAGTATTTAAATTAAAACTTAGATTAAAATTATATATTTTATTAATAAATTTCATCATACTGCAATAACTGCTTCAGAAAATAAGTGAAGCAATGATGAATATGAGTTAACATGATTAAAGAAGATCTTTGAACCTCTTATAAAAAAGAAGACAGATCACAAATATAGACTTCTTATATTGAATGATCACTCATTTTATGTTAATATAACATTCATCAATTATGCAGATTGAAATTGAATTCTACTTATTGTTTTTTTTTCTCATTTTACACACTGATTACAGCTGCTAGATGTTGAAATATTTGAATCATTGAGTAAATTATATTTCAAACAACTGAATGAATGAATGAGAACTGGAATAGAATTCATACATACTACAAAGAGGTCTTTTTGATAGCTTTTTGACACTGTGTGAAAGGAGGCAGTTACATCTTTAAATATTGAAGCTGCATTTGCTGCTACTGACTTACATTCATTCAATCTGAAATGCATTTTTAAAAAGCTTCAAATATGATCTTGCATCTTCTCTGATGCAATATATCAATCATAAACATCTGCTTCTATTGTTGATCTGTGGAAATTGATGAAGTAAGTCAAGCAACAGCAGCATCAAATATTTAATAATCTTAATCAGATGATTTGTGCAGGGGAAAATCTTACTCTTGATAAAGAGATTCTTTTAATAGAGAATCAGCATCTTTAAAAAGTTCTTAATCAAGAGAGAAGACATTGCAAGTGTGATAGAGCAATGAGATTGCTAGATCTCTTGAATTCATCATTGATGCAGTTCTTCTTGCTGACAAAGATGCAGAGCATCTGTGAGAATTTGACAGTCTCAGAGGTTGTCAAAAAAAATGAGCAAGCTCATAAGAAGGATGCAAAGCTGCAACACACTATTCTTAAGGAACAGAAAGAGGCAGATATCATCCAGCAGAGGATAAAGTGGAAGACAGCTTGCCAGACCACAAAACAGCAAAAGAAAATGAATAAGACTGCAAGAGCTGCTCAACAGCAGATTGACAAGAAGCTTAGAGATGAGAAAAAGACTCAGAAGCAAAAAGAAAAGAAAGAACAAGCTGCTGTATGACTACAATCATGATTGAATAAGAGAATGATTGAAGAATTCAAAAATTACCTTTCTAATCAGAAAAGTAGACCCTTGATTTTGCAAAGAGTGGCTAAATCATTTTTTCAGAGCCCTTCCAGGGTGCCCACAGATCCACTGTCAGAGGGATATGATGATATTGCAATCTCTACTGGTTTAATGATTGCTTGCTCACTGAATTTGCCTCCACTCAAGATTTCACATTCTGGGCAAGTTATTAAGCCAAACAAACATTTACTGAATTAGCTATATATTTTTATATGTAATTTTCTATATATATTTTCATCCTATAATATGTCATCTTAAAATCTAATTGTGTTGTTGAAATAATGTTGAAAATATTTCATCATAGTGATGTTGAAATGGCGGGCGTTGGGTGTAAACGGGCGTTGGGTGGTGGATTACATTACGTGATCCTGTGTATAGCGTAGTTAGCCTCCCCTCACGGATCCGGATGGGAGGATCACTGAAAGAAGATAAAAGACATCAGAAGAGATGATTCAAGATCAATTTCCTCATATGGAGTACAGGACACTGATTGCAATAGCACAACTGGCTATATATATACTGGGTTGACTGGCGCTACGTTTTATTAACACTATGATTCAATCAAATGCGTCTTTCCTATTCTTTTTTTAACATGTTATGGATGTTTTGCCCATTTTCATAAATACAGCTACAAATACAGAAATACAGGTACACATATCCAAGCAAAAAGAAAAATGTCCTAAAAGATAATCCACGAAGCCTCTCTTATATAATTTCCTAAAACGGGGGAAAGCTATTCGCGGAGTTTTCTGTCTGTGGAGGGCAAATTTAAGAACCAGGTAGCCAATATATACGGTCTTTCCTGGCTGCCTGTAGGCTTCTCCTCTGCTCTCTGTTTATGGAAAACGTCGCACAATAAATTGGTGATGGGATGGGGGTAATGCATATCGGCAAAGAGGAAGGGAAAATAGTGATGGAGGCAAAAGGGGCTTGGGTAATAGAAAATAGGATGAAAGGGGTTATGCTTTATAAAAAGAAGATTAGGAAATTGAAAAGGAAAAGATAGAAATTCAATCGTGGAAAAACACGCAAAAGGTATTCGACGATGTAAAAATCAGACACGTAGACTCGCAGATTTGAAGTAAACAGTACGTATTTCTTTTCCTCCTCATTCTGGCCATGATCTGCTGTTTCCACCTCACTTGTTCCTATTGTTTTCTTCACGTCACAAATGAACATTGCTAACTGCAATGCGTTAAGAACAAACAAGCTAACAAAAACACAAAAAAGAAGCTTTTTTTTAGAGTCAGGGGTTACTCCTGCTTCACCTACTTCCCCATTTTCCAGCTTTTTCAGCCTTTGCACAGCTTTCTTTGATTTTTGAAGCTCCCCAATGCCTTGGTATGTACCACTATGGTCCCAATCCACGAGTGGCTGAGACAGGAGAAGCATTCCTTCCTATGAGGTATATATATATTCAAAACAGTATTAAGGTGTAGCGAGGAAACGTTGATGACCACACAACATTTACTCACTTGCATGCAATAAGAAGACAAACAAAAACTGAACCAGGACATCAAGGAGACGATAAGTGGTAGTCAAAGAAGTTAAAAGATGAGAGATGAATGGATGAATGGATTTCACGAAACGCTTCACTAACAAAGGAAATAAAAGAGCAAGAAAATGAAAATGTTTTAAAATGAAACAATGGACAGAAATAAATTTTGATCTTGGATTAGAAACGACTCGCGCTTGCAATGCTAGAGGAAGAAATAGAATCACCCATGATGGATGATATCAGGCTAATTAGAAGCATGAAATGGTCAAATAAAAACAAGAGGACATGCACGTATGATCCACAACCGCAATTGCTGCTATGCAACGGTAGGAATCACACGAAATGTGGAAGAAAAGGCTTTTTTCAGTCATTCGAAACCTATATGATATCGGATGATATCTGCTGCTTGCCCAAGGGAAATCTTATGGCGGAGAACAGCCTTAAGTGGACTTGGATGAAGCACTGTATCAATATGGATTAATATCGAATGTATACGGAAACATGAAAGTTGCTTGGCATATGTATATGTGGTACTGCTTGAGCTTCCGTGCCTAAAGCTCACCATGTCCAAGATAAAAAGAACACGTTTATTCCTACACCTGTCCATTTAAAAAGACCCCGTGGTACACGACAGCTGGCTGTTGACTGAAATGTTGATGTTGGCAGTAGGGGTTCTCATCCGGGCGTTGATGATAACCTTGCAGAAATTGAGCACTGGAAGGTGGTGTGGGTGAAGCATGGATGACACCAGATATTGGTTTTGGGATGCTCGCATGGCTCGCAATAACGAACGCCTCATTATCAGGAGTTATTGGAGGGGTTAGATATCCATTTGGCATTGTGGACTGGTTCTGTGGTTTCTGCGGTGTAGCTAACCCAATCTCCCCATTATATGGTTTCAGCTGCTCAGCGGAAGAATCAGGGGAAGGTGTCGGCGGGCTGTTATAGGCCTTAGGAATCGATGTCTGGTGAGCAAGGAATTGTTCTAAAAGCCTCGACACCCGAGAATAACGCCCGGATGAGTATTTTCGGGAAAGAACTAGCGATGGTTGGACCAAGTGCTGAGAGAGGTTCACCAAGGTCAACGAGTCATAATGAGATGACCAGTCGGAATTCCGTGGTTGAGGACGGTTCAAAACACATCGAGCAAGAGCAAGCGAGGCCCGGGCAAGATCCGACGATTGTTTAGAGACAAAGTCCCTATGAAACAGGGATATTTCCAGAATGTAGAGTGAAAGGTGTTCTACTTCCGGGTCATATGGCGTGTCCACCACCGCCATTTGCAAAAAGCCGTCGACTGTGGGGTGACCTATCGCCCAACTAAGCGTTTGGAGAACATGCCATTCCATCTGTACGAACATATCGTCATCGTATTGAGAACAGCACATTGTCTTAAGCTCTTTGATGGTTGGAACCCGATCTTTCCTATCTCCATACTTTGCGGCAATAAGCAGTGCTGCACATCCAACCAGTTGATAATGTTTCTTGTACACCACACGTTTGGAACAATACCGATCTAGCAAGTTGACCGTAAGGAACAGGGTAGCGGGCAAGAGCTGGAAAGCGGTATGGGCTTCTATGAGGAAGTCGAGGAGATAGGGGCGCATAAACCACTGAATTTCGGTTTGGATATCAATAGAGTCCACATCTGGTAGAGTTGCTGACTAGTTTTGACGTTAGCCAAGATGTATAAAAGAGAGAGGAATGAAAGCAAAAGGTTTGGTGGGGGGAGGTGTGGGTTTCGTTTATAGGGAGACTGACATCCATCACTAGCATGTGAGCCAGAATATCATCTTGGTATTCATCGCTAGCTTGTTTTGACAACTCGTCGGCGATGGCAAATTGACGTTCGCGAGCAATGACTTTAGCATGCTCCTTAGGTCCAAGCCTGGGAGCAGGGTACTCCGGTTCATATTGTTCTACGAAATAGGTGTCGCAAGGTTGAAACGAAGAGCTTGGGTGTTGTTGATAAGCCATATTGATACGTGTTGAAGGATCCGAAAAGTTCGAAGGTCGCTTCAAAATGAATACGCTTTGCGTATTGTTTCGAATGAGGGATGTGAAATATAGCCCGTATATCTGAAAAGCCGAAAAGGAACGACGAAGGTTAAAGAGAGTGACAGTCGTCTATTAAGTGACAATATAAAGATTGAAAATTAGTTGGTTGGAATTATTAAGGAAAGTTGTGTCGATAATAATCGGCACGTTTAAAAGGAGTGGCCAATCGACCAGATGGAGATTTTTGGAGAGAAAGCTAGATGATGCATTCAATGTCAGCACGAAATCGACTGTCGAGCTTATAGCATCGAAAATAGCATCAGAATATTTAGACACGAGAATCTGAATAAGAAACATACCCAGTTTGACGTTTACCAAGAAGGGCACGTAATAACCCTTACTTTAGCAACTGTCGTGTCATCGAATTTAGAGCCTGGGTTATAATGGATTCGAAAAGCTATAGCAGCTAGGCAGGTGAACGACGAGTCAACGTCTCCACCTTTCTCGAGTCGACAGGTTAATTGTCCTAGATCTCTGATGAGGAAAACAGAAGCTTCCACAAACTGTAATTGCAAAGCCTGCCCAAGTAATAATAAAGTCAATTGTGCCCCAAATGTGGAAGACTTGATTCTAGAATGAGATGGAAATGAGAAGATTTGTTAGGCGAATTCGGGAAGGAATCACAGCATACTTTCGAGGTTTGCCTGACTTTAGCGTAGAAGCTTCTTTGACGTGAAAACAATGCCTGATGAATGCAGGGAAGGTTTCAATGGCGTTAACGCTGGGGCCTACCAATGATGGTATGATCAGTATACATAATGCACACAAATGAGAGGTTATAAATGAAGGTCTGAAACAATTAAATGAGATGACGTGATGGAATGATCTATGTCTAGTGTAGAGGTTTCAAGCCAATGGCAAGTATCGCCCGAGTAGCTTAATTCCTGTACCTAGGTATCATTCATTCACTTGAAAAATCAAGTGAAGGTGTGCGGCACAGAGAAAAAACGCGTATATCCTAAACTACCCCCATATAACCAGTGACATAGCAGAGCCAGTCACAAGCACAGGACTCTTCTTTCGGATCCGTCTAGTCTGCAAATCTGGAATATTGACCAAATGTTTCCTTTCATCCTCGAGGGGCTCCGGAGCTAGGAAAAAGCAACCCAGAACAATAGTTTCATGACATTCTCCTCAAAGTGTTGGGGAATGAGGCAAAAATATAAATTCTCGGAAAGATTCTGACAAGAGAATGGCGGAGATGGGATTGGCGTCGCGAGGGTGTAGGAGGTTGGGCATCCAGCAGGCAGTTGACATTTGAACTCTCGGTATAACTCCGTGCAGGAGCAATTGGTGCAGCAACATACAAAGGGGTATTGCAACAAATGAAAACGTAAAAGTAGAATTTTAAAAAATTTAAAAATAAAAAATAAAAAGTCAAGAGACGGAGGGAACAACAGAAAAATACCGCCCAGCAAATTAACAATTGAGCTTACCTTTCGGGCGAAAGGGCTCCGGATCAAGAACAGATTCGATAATGCAAGCAAAGCTTTTTTTATCCCTAATTTCCTATTTTTCCCTATTTCCCTCTCTTCTAACTCGGGGAGGTAGACGAATAGTAGTGGGGAGGACTGTAAAAGTCACAATTGAAGAGAACAGATCGAATCAAGACGGAGCAGTCGACCGAGATAGAGGTTATCGAGGACGGAGAATTACGAGAGTGAGCAAGAATTGTCGCTGAGGAATCAAGGATTTGAGGACCAACGGAAAATTAGACGGCCTGAAGGGAGCGTCTAAGGAGAAATGGTAGAAAGGTAGGAGACACAAGTCGACTGGGTCTCAGTCAACGAAAGCCAGCCACCGGCTGACAGACCAAATCACCAGTTCTCCGCCGTTGAGTAGAGTGACAAAGAGAGGAGAGGAGAGATGGAGAACGGAACGGGAGAGGGAGAGGGAAAAGAGAGGAGAGGAGGACGGATTGGAGGAAGTCTCTCCAAAGAGAGGAGAGGAAGAAAGGGGAAAGAGAAGAGAGAAGAGAGAAGAGAGAAGAGAGAAGAGAGAAGAGAGAAGAGAGAAAAGAGAAGAGAGGAGAGAGGAGGTTTAGACACAGGAAGGAGAAGAGAGGAGAAAAGGAAAGGGGGAGGAGAGGGAAGGGAGAGGAAGAAAAGAAAAGAGGGAGAGAGGGAGAGGGAGAGATGCAGATGGGTTGGATATGAGGATGCGAGACGGCGAGTGACGGAGAAGGTGAGGTTAAAGGCTGAAGACCAACCCAAGTTCCTGCCAACCTGGAAGCTGGCCCTAGCCTGATCGGTGATAGCGTGCTTCCAGTTGGAGCCTCAAGTTGGAAGCTCAGTTGAACTTGTTGAACGCGGCCTGTTTGGTATGATTGGCCAGCGGCGTTGGGGGCGTACTCGTGTATGTATTTACGTATGTATTTACGTACGTATGTATGTATGTACAACGCGTAATAATGTATGGTAACTGGTACTGTTCCCAGTTGCCGTTCCCTTGCCAGTCTGGTTGGTCACTAGCCTGGGTTCCGTCAGGTCCTTTAGGTAAAGGTCTACTTCCCTACCCACTTCTACCAACGAATCTTGATTCCAGCCACGGCATTGAATTACTCAACTGCAAATAACTATTAACTGTATGTAAGTTACCCCATTCACTACTACTGGCTGGTTCCTGGCTTGGTTCTGTCCTCCACTTTTCTGTATCTTGCTGACGGTTGATTTCGAACTGCTCCAGTAACGGCCTATATCTCCTGTAATACCCAGTTTCATCAGTTCTACTATTAATAAATCGATAACTATAGATACCGTACATCCATGGATATCTTGGCCCTGAGGTAATAATCACTTGTCACGAGTAGTTTCACCGCGTTCAAACGCGCCGCCTCGCTTCGATGAAAATGATAACCTCTCGATTCTTCAAAAAAACAAAGAAAATTAAAATATCTAAAAGTCAACCTAATGACGCGTGAATGAGATGGAAGCATAATTTCGTGAATTATATAATTTATGGATGGGTTTTCTTGTAACTCCAGGCCCCGTGCTCAATTTACTAATAATGTAGTTAAACCTCTATGAGATCCACCAAATTCAGGAGCCCAAGGCCAGTTCTCATTTCACTCATCTTCTTAGCGACGCTAAGGTAAACCACCCAAGGAACTCCCGAACCTATGCACCTCATCGGCATTGATTCTCAGACATGCAGAACTGGAATTCCTGCTTTTCTTTCCCTCCTGAGGACTTTTGACTTTTCCCCCCTTGGCTGCCAGAAAGGGAAAGAAAATATCCTCCTGACAAGCTCAAAGCCTGAAAAAAAGGACCTTTCCCAGTTTATATCCAGCAAACAACCAAGGATGTTTTTTCCCCTTCTCTCTGTCCTGTATTTTTATGGTGAGAGCGCTGATTATTGATATGAAAAGGGAGATATACAGATGACATGATATATTCTTTAAATTACTCCGTACATACAAGCAAGATCATCTGTAATAGGTTACTACAACGGAGCACAACCGACAGTACATAGGTAACATAGCAGCTAAAGAGAGAATACTTCTATTCAGGGCGATTTTGCGACGTACTGGCTATCTCCCCTCAAAATCCCTCTCTTCCAGAATACACCATCCTTCTGGAAAAGCCTGAAAGAAAATATAAATGATGAAAGAAGGAAATGAACAGAACAAACAGTTTGCCCTGATGCGGCCGTATAAACTTAAGTGATAACAACCTTGCCTCTTGGATCTGCTGTCCCTTGATCAATCATCAAAGAGAACCCCCATCAAATAACAACGCACAAAGCAACATATAATGCTATGTGGAGTATATTTCAATGTTATTAATATCCATTGCTTTCCCTTAGCTTGCAATTCATCGCATCGTATCACCGCCATTAACCTCTTTTGAATGGATTGGATAGGGCTGTAGAAAATTTCCCGGCAATCATCTCAGCGCCTTGATGGCTTTTGGAGGAGAAGCAAACTACATGAGGTGTAACTATATATGTACTGATTTAATTAAATCCACTCTCCAGTCTTCTGCAGTATATCTCCTTTTTCCACTCCACTTCCTCCTGACGTGGTTTGTCGGTGGTTCGTTTCATTCCATTCCCATCCCGACCATAACCCTCATCAGATCTGCAGGCGAGGAACTCTCCCGCCGGAACGCAGCAATTTCAGCTGCCAAGCGGCCAAAACGATGGAGTCTGAGACCTTGAACTGAGCAGCGAGTCTGACAGAAACGGGGTTCCTGACAGTTATCGCGTGATACAATGCTGACATTTCAAGTTAATTACTGAGTAACAGCTCCCTGCAACACACAACGCTAGCCAGGACAAAACTTTGGATTCAGCTTGGTTATGCTCGTTTATCTATCTCTAACCATTATTTGGACTGAACACAGACATAAAGGGGCTGATGGTGGGCATTTTCAGCCCTGTCAATGTGCACAGTGTTCTAAAAGAGCCCCATGGTCTGCAATGACGCGTGAGGAACTCCGATTAAGGATTAAGTGTATTCAAACACATTTTCTCCACGATTAAGTCCAAACAATCGATTTTAGTGACCTTTACAAAAAAGGACAGAGGGTTATAGCTTCATTATTGCTTGAACTCCTGAAGCAACAAGCACCTCTACCCATGGATGCCAAATACAAGGGATAAGCAATTGAATTGGTACCTGACATGGAATTACCCAGCGAAGCATGGCGTATTTGTGAGTTTGATATAGCCTCCCTTTGCCATACCGACAACCCGAATAGTATTTAGGATGTGGAGGCCAATAAAGTAACTCTTTGTCTCATATGGAACGTGGCATTGCAAGAAAGATCCCAGGTCGTATAATCATCAAACCATAACGGACTATATCCTGTACAAGACAAGGCGTTCCGACTTCTTAGCAATGTTTGAAGAGACGTGGGGAAACGTTATCTACATCTTTTGACTGCCTGGCCGAAAGAAAGAAATGCAAACAAGATGGCAACAAAGACACATCCGGGGGTTTCTCGTATTGACGCTGAGCAACGCATAACCCTGTACTGACAGGACACGTTAAGACCTTGCATATAGCAAGTGAGGGGGATTGAAAGAGAAAAAAAGTTGAATATGTTTTACAACATGATTACTGGCATGTGCAGTCAATCTGAATATTTAGACTCATTTACCTTATTTCCCAGCATACGACGATATTTATATGTTAGCCCTGATAAGTACTACGTTGAACGATGCCAGCGCCTGGTGCTGGCATCGACAAACCGTTCACATTCAATCCATAAAGTTCTGTGGTTAAGTCCCCTGGGATCCCCGGACAGCATGGGGAGGGTGAGACAGGCAGCCCTGACCAGCTCCTAGGGCCAGAAGACCGGAACTATTTCTGATAAAGGAGAACTGCTGTGAATATTTCAACTAGCTTCTAAGGTCATTCTTAGCCCTTACTCAAACATGGAGAATAATCTAGCAGAAAGCTTCGATCCTGAAACAGTGCAAGTCTTTTTGATGGTTGAGAATAACCAGTCAGAAAATATTACATCCCGCTCATCAGCTGTGAACTCATGCAACCTTGAAACAGAGGGGCCAAACGCGTGGTCTGAAAGAATGCATTTTTCTATTCAGCTTATCTTTTATTTTACATTTACACGGTTTCAATATTCGGGATGCTGTTAGGTGGAGTGGACATGACAGGCATTAAATAATGACGCAACATGGCTCACCACATATGGTACTGTACACTCATTGAAAAGGAGAATGAAACATAGGGAATTAATTAATTCAATGTAATACATAGAAGCGAAATATTGACTAAGTTCACTTTCTCAAAGAAGCATATATGACCACTTTTATGCTTTGCTCTGGGTCATTGTTAATTAAATCTCGCGTGTATCTCGAAACTGGAGTGAATGAACAAATTTAAAAATGAATGGGAATTACTTTATTCATCAGCATGTCGAAACAGTTCTCTGAAACATTCTGTCATATGTTATCACGATGCTCTATCGAAATAATACCCTCACAAGCTTGTCACAGTGTGTCAGATCGTCGCAAGCCGCCCGGCTTGAAGTTTTGTGGGGCTTTTGGTTGGTTTAGTTAGTTAACTATACCACAACATTTGAAGTTTTGAGAACTCCAGTTACGACGTCGAATCTTTAAAATGTCGTCATTGGTTGAGATCTATAGGGCTGTCCTCTTCTTCAGTATGTGACTATGTAGTTATCATGTCCCGTCCTCTCAAACAAATTTTCCGGCTGCTGATACAGTTTCCAGTAGATAAAGTAAGTAAAGTGCATCAACCAACTTCCTATTCACCCCGTACGTATATGAAATAATGAAATATTTACAAGCACCAAAAAACCCTCATCCATAACCACTAGTTATCCCTCGTGAATCCATGGAATGAATTTACGAAATGGATCGAGAATAATTAACAAATATCAACCGCTAATCAACTTTTACGACCAGTCCCAAACGAAAGCTCTAGATCCATAAACGACTGTGGGCATCCGCTTCTCGTCGGCCCACCCGTACCCAACAACAATGGATCATACCCATCATTCCGAGCCAAAGGGAAGCATAGGAGGATGTAGCAGAAAGAATTTTCCCCCCAGTCCCATGGGGAACCCTTGAGAGGCAAGGTAGATTCTGGTTGGTACGGCCAATAACCTTAATTTCGGGAAAAGCTGAGCTTCCCTTCTTTCACCTGCGTTGCCACTGGTGTTAGTTACATGATGATACATACAAAAGGGCAAAAACACTTCTTATCCTTTACTCAAAGAAGTTTGAAACGCCGTCCCTCCAAGATCAAGAGAGTGAGGAATACCATTGATTTAATCGGTATTCACAGGGACAAACTCAAAGTCCCAATGGAAGCGTCCATTCATTGATCGATTGAGGCTCAACTCGAGGCTCGCATGGGCTAGAAATAACCCCTACACAAGTATCATGCCAGAACCATGGTCCACGGGACAGGCTTTAAAATCGTCAACGGAGTGAATCTTCAAAATCCGCCTAACATTTAATTTCATCCAATCTAACAAGAAACGTCAATTCATATGCTCTATCCTCATTGTTCTTCTTCCCACCCGTAGATGTAAGAAGCAGCAGACTACTAATTAGAGGGCCGCCACTCAGAACAGAATTACGTGGGGTTAAAAAGGCGTGAGCACAAAAGTGCGAAAGAGGGATCCCGCTCCCACGATGTTCATTGCGTCAATGGGGGGGTTGTCTGGCTGCTTAGCTTTGGTAGCAAATCAGGAGCCGGTAAAGGCGACTGAACAGGGAAGCGCGAAATGCATGTCCAAGGGAGGCTTGAAGGATTGTTGTTGCGCTTAAGGATGGCTTGGCCCCAGATAAAGTTATATGCAAAGATATTGTACGTGTATATATTGTCAGTATTGTACAGTACATTAAAAATATACAATACATATAGTTACACCGTCGGGGCTTTCTCCTATTTCAGTGAATATGTTCAAATAAATCAACATAAGAATTCGCATGCATATTTCAAGAGATGTTATGTTTATTTTAACTTATTAATTCATTTCCTGTTCTGTTCCACTTATACAGACAAGCAAGTTACAAATTGTTGTACTTGCAGACTAAAGCAGGAAGTTAAAATATGGCAATCCTGCACTGCTTATCTGGAGAATGCTTTTGATGTAATACATATATTTCATCCTTTCTGGAATCATGTAAGATACAACTCAAGAGATGCTTTTTAAGAACTATTATTTCATAATCAGTTTAAAATCTTCTGTGATTATATATATCAATTACTAATAAAGAAAGAAGGATTCTCAATTCATTTCTCTTGATCTAAATTATTACAGTTTTCTTAACAACTTAATAGTAGCTTTTTAAAGATGATTGTATGCAATCTTACCCAGAAATGTTAAACAAGAACAAGCCTTACACAAGGCTTTAGCTAAGCTTTCTCAGAGATGGAAGTTAATAAGTTAGTTACAGCTATAACTACATAGTTACTTCATCATCATAACTGTTCTCTGGCAGAGAATAGCTGTTTCTTCAATCAAGACTTCTCTTTTCATATAGTAATACAATTACCATATAGCTGTGAAAATTCAGAATATTTAGAGACTTATTTAATATCAAAATCTTATTAAAAAGCTCTGAAATTAATGTTCAAGTAAGAATTTCTTAAAATATAATCATTATTTTTTTTCTTTACTTATTATTATTCTTATTTATTATCATTATTGCTTATTAACTTCTGATTTCTAATCTTTAATTCCTGTTGCTTCTAAATCTAGATTAATAATTTAAAGCTAGAAATATATATATATATATATAATATATCTTTTAAAAATATTTTAAATACTAACTTTTAATCTTTGTAGGTTCTTCTTCACTTTAATGAATATATATTTTTTGATTAATATATATGTAACTATATATAGTATGAACTTGTATCTATATATTTATTTCTTTTATATTATATATGATATTTAATTTTTATTTTCTTTACAGTAAAAGATATAATAAAGTCAGTTTGCTAGTGCTTATTATTGCTAGAATTCTTTACATTTGAATATATATTAATAATATATACTTTTAATTTCATATATTTTATTATATTTAAAATTATAATTTATTTATTTAATAAAAAAAGAAGTAAATAAACTAGAAAATATAATCTTTTCTGCATTATATATTATATATAACCAAGTAATCTTTTTCTAGAAAATTTAAAAAAAAATTATAGATGCTTTTCAAACTGAGTCCTACAGCACTAATAACAAGGGCAAAAAAGTAAATAGTCTCTCAAATAACTTCTTCATATGTAATATACTAAATGTAACTTCTTGTGTGGAGTAGAGCAAACTAATTGATTCAGCAGATGCCAAGTGAGTCAGCTTAAAAGTGAGATTCATTTATTCTTTATAATAAAAGAATGAAGTAGAATTCAAGGAAATGAAATTCATTATTCTTTTAATGATAATAGCAGCTGAATGTTACAAGATTAACTTCACAAGGCGTTGAGAAATGCTGCAGTAAGCAAAACTAATTAGATGCTTCAAAATGTATTAAAATGCACAATATTATATGAAGAAAAAAATGAGAAACATTGAGCAGCTGATCGCAGTATAAATCAAAATTCTCTATATTTCATCAATAATAGCACATAATAATTGACTCTGGCACATGATAAAGATTTAATATTCCTCACACTTATTTTTAGTTACCTTTTAATATAATAAATTATATCATAAATTATGTTCAATACCTCTTTTCATTTCTTTGCTGGTTGTCTACAATTTGATAATCAAGTGAAGATGGGTCATAGCCATGAAATTATTCAGAAAATGACTATGATGATGACTACAGTGAATTTCTATACATGGCTATGAAGTTGAGTTATGGATAAAAAAGATATGAGGGTGAAAGGAAGGTTCTGAGAAATCAATAATTATGATGTAAATTCCTTTGTTCTGCTAATCCTCAATCTTCTCAATTTGATTCATGAAGCTAGGCTCTGTTGGATGCGTAACTATACAGTATATAACAGAATTTAGTATCTGGTTCGGTACATACATAACAAGTAGCGGCAATCAGTTTGTTTCATACCAATAATACACTGGTATTATAGCAGATAAACTTACACATGTTGTCTCCTCCTGAACGTTTCTGTGCCTTGAACTTCCCCATGGTTCGGTTGAACCCTCAGATCGAAAAACCTTCAAGCTGTTTAAGACATGAACGGAAGGGAGTAAATTCTTGCCTCATGGTCCACTTCCACCGCTTCTATACCGTTGCCTCCGTTGCCCCTGATGGCGGGGTTTTATATTTTCCTTCAAAATTTTCCGACTGTGGTCATAAGCCGCTTAAAGGCAGGTTGCATGCTCCTAACCTCCTCAACAAATTCCTCCGTCTGGGCTACCTACATGTATTTTGATATATAAAATACACATATATATCATTCATCTATTAACTACCAATACTCTTCAGGTAAATAGGTATTCAATTCACCCGCTGACTCTCAGTCAATTGTGTTGTGGTTGGTAATATTTAAGCAAAAATTACTTGTTCGGGTCAAATTTGGATATGAAACTCCCAGAGCACATGACTGTTTCTCCATGAAAATCCTCAACATCACTAAGGACCATTAAATTCTCAAACCTGCCGCCACGGATGATCATTTCAGATCAAATAACTCTAGTTCATAGTCATGCCACGGGAGGAGAATGAACAAAATATAATAACAATAACACAAACAAAAGTTGAATGATTGCATTTGATGTGAAACATCTTGGACAAGAATTTACTTTAACTATCATGAGTGTTTTCCAAGGTACTCCCTTCAAGCACTTTTTTCAAGGTTACATATTCTCACCTCTTGGTGAATTGCCCTTGAATGCACCAGGCCAATGCTTTATATATATATATATATATATATAAACATTTATACAACAAGACACCATTGTGTTAGCTGTAGATTCTTGCTCGTGTTTGCATGCATGCTTGCATGTTTGCTTGGTGGTAAAGTATGTCAATTGTATATCTATCATCCATCTTGGTTTTACAGTGTCAATCCAGGTTCTATACAAAGAAGGCAAAATTTCAAAATCTGTTTGTTGACTGCTAGCTATTTTTATACAATGATGCATATAGCACAGATTATCTATTTTTATTTTTTAATTTTAAGAGCTAGATCTTTGAAAGTATAAAATGAAAAGAAAGTCAATATGTACACTTCATAACATATCTCTTTTTTTTCCCTCTTATTTAATTCTTGAGATCTGATATATAACTTTAATCATTAAAGTCTTTAGATTATTGTTAAGTGATCTCAAGGAATTGCTATTGCTCAGTCTTAAGACATGATGATAATAAGAAAAAAGCTCAATTCATCTATTTAACTAGATAGCTGCAATGAGAATACTAAATTGAGAATTAGAATATAAGAATGAATGAGAAGTCTGATATATATAGATAGTTAAGAATCAGAGTGAATCATTTTATTTTATATTATTAGTGATAGCACTATAATATTACTTTTTAGTTTAAAAAAAGTGTTTGCTTTCAAGCAGTTATGTTAGATAAAAGAAAAGAGCAAAATAAAATTCATCAAGCTTATCAGTAGATTGATTATCTTAGTTATCATTTTTTAGATTCTTATATATTTTTTTCATATTTTACAAATATCTAAATCATTATCTGATTCTTGATTAAAGACTGAAATTTATTTAGCAGTTTGATAGCAATAAAACTTAGAAGAATATAGATAGAATTGACAGTTTCAACTTATTAATTATTAGATTCACAATGTATATAATAGCCTTTTTGATAATATTTTTCTTATTGAGAAGATGAAATCAATAAAGTATATAATCAAGAAATATATAAAAAGTTGAAAGTATTAATTTAGTTCAGATTCATAGAATCAGAGTAATCATAGCAAGCTGAGCGATTATGATAAGCTGGATAATCATGATGAGCTGAGCAATTAGTTTGCTAAGATGTATGAGATGAGAATGAATAGAAGAAATTGAAAGCTAACTGCTGAACAATATATAGAAATTTCTTATAAATCTAAAGTATATTTAACTGCTGAGCTAAATAGTTGCAG